GTGTGTGTGTGTGTGTGTGTGTGTGTGTTTTGTTAAGTGTGATATGGCGCTCGCAATGGCACAAGGTTATATGAGCGCGCGGGACACACCAAACATTTTCAGTTGGTAGGACATTTTGAATTTTGCCCGGGTGGCGGCCAAAGCCTGCTCTTATCAATTTTGGACTACAAAGGGATCTGTAACGTGCACAACGTGGACACGGGACCTTCGAGATTTTTCGCCCTTGTCCGAAAAGGCTTGGCGTAGATCTTTGCTACCAGAAGGTCAGAGGTTTGGCTGAAAGATTGCAGTAAGAAGGAGCCAAGAGTAGCAGTAGAAAGGCTGCTGAAAGGGTCAGGAGCCCAGTGGAGGGGGGTAAAGGAGGTGAGGGGATGAGGGAAGAGAGTGGAGACAGACGAGAGAATATTGAAAGAGATAAGAAAGAAGGTGAAAGGAGATTATTTTAGAGAAGAACTTTTTTCCATCGCAACCCGGGTTCGAACCCGGGACCTTTGAATGAGAGGCGAACACCTTAACCTCTTTGCCACAAGAGCCCCCCCACCCCCATGTGAGTGTGTGTGTGTGTTTGTGTGTGTGTGTGTTTGTGTGTGTGTGTGTGTGTGTGTGTGTGTGTGTGTATGTATTCCTATAACACAAAGCTATTATAATTTCTTTCAAAATGAATTTAAAGAAAAAAAATGCGCTCGTATAAACTATTTACTTTGCTGTTTGCCAGAGATCCTGTTGTGCAGAAAACTTTCCCAGGAAACCCCCACACTAAAGGAATCCGGATTTCCCCCCATTTGGATCCTGTTGTTCGGTTTGTGAGGATTTCAGAGAGACGTTCCGCCGTGCGTCAGCTTTAATTTATTCAAAGCGACAAGACATTAATGTATAAGAACGACTGAGGCTGGGACTGTTATAAGAACAAAGAAGAGGCTACATCCGGCTGTAGGAGTTATGGTTCGCTGACACTGACAGTATCTTTCTATAATCATCAAAGCATAACAAGAGAACGATATTATTAGTTTATATAGTGGGCGTATCCGGCAGATCCATTCGCATGCACGCCGTCTCGACTGAAACTGGGCCGATTACTAAGACAGTAAAAACATGTTTTAAGTACATAAAGAAAGAAAGAAAGAAAGAAAGAAAGAAAGAAAGAAAGAAAGAAAGAAAAAAAGAAAGAAAGAAAGAAAGAAAAACAGAAAGAAAGAAAGAAAGAAAAAAAACCGAAAAAAGTAACAGACACAAAGAAAGAAAAAAAAGAAAGAATATGTTATACATTTATGATAAATTTGGGATTTTGATAATTTTATGTGCATAGTAAGTTGAGGTTTTTGAATCGTGCGCTTTCACTGTTCAGTTCTACATCATCAAACAAATTTACTTTTGCCACGAAAACAGCTTCTTCTTTTTCTTCTTCTTCTTCTTCTTCTTCTTCTTCTTCTTCTTCTTCTTCTTCTTCTTCTTCTTCTTCTTCTTCTTCTTCTTCTTCTTCTTC